AGCAAGCAAAAGATCGTGGGCTCGATTCCCATCTTAAATTACAAAGACACTATACCTGTAAAATCATACCTACCTACTTATGAACCGAAACTAATAAGGCCTAGAACAGACGGTGAAACGAAACTGCAACTTTCTGATGATTCTTATGAATGAAACTGAAACTTTCAAACTGCCCCCTTAGACAAAACGCACTTTTTGATCGAATCGAAAATCGAATCCGTCAAAACTCCATACAAAAAAGGGGCTTTTCGACCACTTTTCGACTGGTTTGCGATATAATTTGCACTTTGTCTAGACCCACTGGTCGCGTCATGTGTGGTCTCTCAACGGACGCTATGGCAGAAACTTAGATGCAACTCAAAAGTAACTAGCAGTTGCAGTTTCGTTGCAGTTGCGTTTCACTGTCTGTTCTGGGCCTATGAGTTGAATAATTCAATTTCAAACTACTAACGATGTAATTTAAGAAACAAAAAGAGTCAAAATGCAGGTGCTACTTATTTAAATATAAATTCCTAAAGGACCAATAAAAACTCAAAAAACGTCCTCTTAATAAGTAACTGATTGCTGATAACAATGTATTGAAATGTTGGAGAAAAAAGTAAAAAAAAACATCCTACACAAATTGTACACACACAGCTGCATGCGACTATTATTTTAGCGATAGCTCGATCTTATAAAATAGTTCTTTGGAACCATGAAGCTATTATAAAGATAAAAATGGAGGCCAAACACTTCGAATACCTACTTGAAGCACAACCTTTGTATCACTATCTCGCTCTCTGTGGGCAGACTCTCTCTTTCTAAATAAACAAAAAATATAAATTTGCTCAAAGTCAATGAAACTCAATGTTAAATCTTTATCATAGGTATCATTAAATAATAAGTGTAAATACTGGTAAAACGTTTTAGGAAGAAATAACTGTGAAAATGATCCAATGTCGGAAATCACGAAATAAACACTTACGCGTGGAATCTTAAGTCACTTCTAGTCTAGGACACCACGTACTACCGCAACCACGCACTACAAAGTTTTGCACCATTTCTTGTGATAAAACAATGATTAGGTCCTGTAAAAAATCTCAAACGGAATTAACTGCATAGTAAACAACCGCCATGATGGGCAGGATTGGGCCGATGTCGCCACATGGTACCGATTTCCCAGGAATTGGGATTGTAATTCCCTGATTCGCCAACACATTTAGCCTAAACGGCCGACAATTTTGTGATTTTTAATTTAACTAGGTAATCGTAGTTCAAATACTTAATTATTTATTTGTTTAACTTCTGATTTGGTTAGTGAACTGGCTATTTTGAAGAATTTACTAGGAGATTTAAATAAGGAGATAGCAATACTACAGGCCATTCTAAAAAGAGAGGTCGGCCCATAGAGAGCGAGATAGAGATAAGTAGGCATTTGACTCAAGTTTTTGTTCCAAGTGTGGCCTCCATTTTTATTTTTAGCTTCATTTCGGAACCCTGTGGGTCTAGACAAAGTGCAAATTATAATCGCAAACCAGTCGAAAAGTGGTCGAAAAGCCCCTTTTTTGTATGGAGTTTTGACGGATTCGATTTTCGATTCGATCAAAAAGTGCGTTTTGTCATCTGTGAAGGGGGCTGTACCTGTGGGGCTGTATGTGAGTGAATGTTAGAGCCACAGATATGGATTAGAGGTGTGGTTAGAGCTTTAGACATACTCTCTAATCTGTGTGTTAGAGTTCGTTCACTCACCAGTGTCTGTCATCCTGTCACTGTCAGTCAACTGTCAAAACATCGTGAGTGAGCGTGCGCGTGGTAATTTTCATTTTTGATTCAATTTTGAGCACAGAAATTGTTTTATTTTTATTAAAACAGCAACGTACTCAGATTTTATGCTACATAAGCTTTGAGGTGTTTAATGAACATGGAAAACCCCGATAGTGATGAAGAAAAACACGAACCCGGACCGGTAGAAAACGCCTGGTCAATGAAAATTCCCAAATTTACTCCAGAAGATAATCCACATGGCTTGTTGGAAGAAAGTAAATTTGCAACATTATTTCCTAAATATCGGGAACAGTATTTAAAGGAATGTTGGCCTTTAGTTCAGAAGGTTTTGAAGGAGCACTATATTGTTGCCGAGTTAGATCTTATTGAAGGCAGTCTGACAGTGAAAACGACTCGAAAAACTTGGGACCCCTATATCATTATTAAGGCTAGAGACCTAATGAAATTACTGTCCAGAAGTGTTCCATTTGAACAAGCAGCAAGAGTTCTCGAAGATGAGATTGGGTGTGACATTATAAAAATTAATTCATTTGTAAGAAAAAAAGAAACATTCTTGAAGAGAAGGCAACGTTTAATTGGACCGAATGGAGTGACATTGAAATCTATTGAATTATTGACTGAATGCTATGTACTTGTACAAGGCAACACTGTTTCAGCTGTGGGCCCATATAAAGGTCTAGTGCAAGTGAGGAGAATAGTGGAAGACACAATGAAGAATATTCACCCTATGTACAACATAAAAAGCTTAATGATAAAGAGAGAACTTATGAAAGATCCTAATTTAAAAAATGAAAGTTGGGATAGGTTTTTGCCCAAATTCAAAAGCAAAAATGTTCCACGAAAACAACCAAAGAAGAAAGTTATCAAAAAGCCTTACACACCATTCCCACCTCCACAACCTGAAAGTAAAATTGACAAAGAATTGGCAACCGGTGAATACTTCCTCAAGGATGATCAGAAGAAAGCTAAACGGCGCCATGAAAAAGAAGAAAAACAAGCCATTGCTAAAAGAGCAAAACAAGAACAAAGGCAAAAAGAATTTATACCGCCTAAAGAGAAACCAGTTGATACTCCGAAAACTGATCAAGGTGTGGACATTAAGCAACTAAAAGCTAAAATGAAGAAGTTCTCTAAACAACATAAATCACTTAAGAAAAATAATGTAAATAATGAATAAAAATTCATAAATACTGGTTTACTTTTTAATTTTCATTATTTTCAATTCTGGTACACTTGTATTTCGTCCTATATGTGTAGTGTGATTCATAAAAGGTTGCAATACAGTAGGAATCAGAATTTTTCCTTTAGGATCTTGATGAGTTTCTACAAGGGAAATTAGCATTCTCGGTACAGCACAAGCAGTGCCATTTAATGTGTGGACATATTTAAATACTTTATTCTCTTCATACTTTATATGGAGCCTCCTCGATTGATAATCTGTACAATTACTACAGCTTGATATTTCACCATAATTATTCCTGCCAGGCATCCATGCCTCAATATCATATTTCCTGTAAAAACAATTACATATAAATATCAAGTTAATCATTTAATTTTCTATAAAAAAAATTTTGAATACAAAAATAGATCAATGACCTACTTACTTATCTATCCTAATTAAAAATTAAAATTTTAAACAAACCTATAAGCAGGTGCTCCTAACTCATGCGGTGGCATATCTAACACTCTCATGTGAATCCCCAACTCAGAAAACAATTCCTCTTGTTGTTTTCTTATGTATTCTAGCATATTATCAGAGTCTTCAGGGGTTGTGACAACAAACATTTCAACTTTTGTAAATTGATGTACCCTGTAACATAAATATTTTAATTAATAATAACACAATATTATATACTCTGCATTTGGTACCCAAGATTATACATTTTACCTGTAAATGCCTCTTTCTTCTATAATATTGGAAGTTTCTGCTCTATAGCACCTACTGACAGCTGCAAGTTTTAAAGGTAAGCTTTGCTTTGTGTGGACTGAATTCATCAATAACCCAGCTAAAGACATCTCTGCCGTGCCTGACAAATATAAATCTGGACCATGATGATGTGGGTCTAAAGAATATATCTGAAAAATTAAACAATATTTAATATTTAAATATTTATATAAAATTTTACATACCTATTCATTAAATAATCTAGAATCATATGATTATTTTGATACAATTTTATAGTGCTTATAAATAAGAAATTAACATTAAAAAGGCTTTACTCAAAAAGTTTACTTTGGATTGAAAATATTAATAAATTACCTGAGTACGATCACTGTTTATAGCCATACCACAACTTTCCAAAATATTACTGGGTAAAATATCTGGCACAGAAACCAGTTGAAAATTGTTTTTAATTAAATAAGACACTGTATATTTTATTAAAGCTTCCTCCAACTCAGCCAACTGACTTAAAAAATAATAGCTTTTGTGTCCACATGTGTGTCCCAGTTTGTCAGTTCTCATCAAGTTAAGGCGTCGTGTTATTTCACTAAATTCTAATGGTTTATATTCCCCAAACTCTTTTCTTTTATTTATTTCATGCAAAAGAAATGGCTCATGTTCATATTCCCGCACAGTGGGATGAGTTTTGTTAGGTAAATAACTTAGTTCTCGTAACAGGTTTGTTTTGATAGAATTATAATTCACATCACAAACTGGTGTTGATTTTAGAACCTTATATGTATTCAAAACTCGATCTATATCGCCTATTCCTTTTCTGATATGGATATTATGTTTTATTTCTGATGCGTTTTTGGTATCACAATAATAATCAGTATCTATGTCTGGAAATGTTGCTGATGAACACAATCTAAAATAACTTCGTTTCCACAGAAATCTTGTCATTAACATAATTTAATGATTTCTGACAGAATGGAGGAAGAAAACTGAATAAGCTTCGTCTTCTGAAACGACGAAATCGTTCTTCGAATTCTTGTAATACAGAAAACACTATATTATTTAAAATTGCAAATTCAGTGGTTCCAAACTTTTACAATATTTTTTTGCCTCAAAATCCTCAAATCTGTTTATCTGTCACTTGCTCTGTCACTCACTCAGCTCGACACTTGCTTTTTTTTTTCTTTGATGGCATGCACGGCTTGTGCGTCAGCCACGACGAGGTAGGTAAGGTAAAGGCATGAAGCTAAAGATAAAAATGCACACAAATCACGCGAAGCCGTAACATGAATAGAAAAAAAAGCTTATACCTGTGAGTTGTCATACTTGTCATCTGTCTGCGACAATTTCGCGCCATTAATTAATTAACTGTGGGGCAGTGAAAATTTATTTACGAATTATGTTTAGTTAGTGATAAAAATGATTTCGGCAGTAAGAAATACTGTATAAATAATCTGTTTTTGTAATAGTTTTGATGAATAATATTTGTGGCAATTGTGGGCTGTAAATGCTGTAATACTATGCCGGTTACTGTTCAATCTCAAGACATGGGTGTGAAAACTGATGAAAGGCAGTCTCAGTCTCCCCAAAACGATGGTGATGAAAAAGGACATGTAATCCAAAGCCCTTTGACACCATCACCCAAGTAAGTTAACACCATTAGAAACTATTAATTTTGTTTATTATGTATGATAAAAATCGACTCATCAGAGATGTAATCGTCTCAATATCCCATTCTCACACGTTCAGGGGAAAAGTTTTTTCAAATACTACATGTTAAGATTAGTAGAAAGAAGTTTGAGTTTCTATTTCGCAGAACATAGTGTTTTTACACTTCTCTCACTGTATGATGATAATTAAATTTTTTGTTTGTTTTATTATTTCTTAACCAGATCTAGACCCAGGAGAAATCTCACTCGAAAAGGAAATCAAAAGTGTATTTCTGATATGTTCCCAATAAAAAGAAGTAGAAGTCCACAAGAAAGTGAAGAAGTGCTTAGTGTGAGTATGATTTTGTTCTAATGTTTATTGTGTTGTTGTTCAGCATAAGCCACTAAGTATGAGTAAAAGGTAACACAAATTAATTAGGATTTTAAGACATTTTTTCCTTTTTAACTTAAAGACCTCCACTTCTAGACAAAGGCTTTCCACTCTCATCGAGGCAGTCAATAGTATTATAATTTTAATATCAATCAAAAACACAATATTAAAATTGCTTCAAGTACCTACTACTCTTATTGTTAACATTTTATTACAGAAAAAGAAAAAAATTGATGACAACAGCAATCAAAATAATGGTCCAACAAATTCTAACAGCAGCCTCGATGGGCAAGATATAAACATAGTATTAGAAAAAGAGCCTGACTCTTTAAAAACACAAGAAGATAATAGCGCTGAAGTAGAAAGTTTAGACAAAAGCAAGACGAATGATGATGCCCCAGATGTGGTTATAACTGATGAAATCAAGCAAAATGATACTGATTTTCATAATGATAATACTAAAAATAATAATGAAGTTTTGGACACTGAGAAATGTACTATATGTGGACAATTTCTCAATAATTCAGACATTATTTACTATCAAGGGCACCCTCAAGATGCAGTGGAAGAGTTTATAGCTTTGACCAATGAAAAGTTGGTTCTGGCATCAGGCAAGTTTAATCAGTTTTTATTAATAAGGAGGNGAGGAATAATTATTTATTAAAAATTATTTTAGTTCAAATAATCTATGAATAATAAATCTGCAAATTAACTGATAAAGCTATATTGTAAAACATGCTTACACTCTAATCTTTCTTCTTTGTTTATATAGGGGATGAGGGGGATATCATGGAGAGACCACAAACAAACATAACAGGATTCTCAATATTTGATGAGCAAGGGCATTTGTGCCCCATCGATGGAGGGCTAGTTGAAAATGATGTACGGATATACATGTCTGGGTATCTAAAATCAATTTGCTCAGATTCCCCTGATATAGATGAGGAATCGATACCTGTCAAGGATGTTGGTCCCATTATTGAATGGTATGTAAGAAGATGTAAAAGATGTAAACTTACCTTTTTATAGTTCTATTATTATGCTGTCCACTAGCCTTTAAAAAAACTCCAGTGTAAGGAGGTATTTGACCACTTTAACTCACTTGATATTAAATATTATATCCCATTAATCTTTCCAGGGTTTTGGTTTGACCTCTTATACAATTTTTTTTTCACTTTACAGTAAAATATTGAAATTTCCTTTCACCATTTTTCAGGTTCATTCATGGCTTTGATGGAGGTAACAGAAATTGTATAACATTGTCTACTGAATTTGGAGAGTACAATTTGATGAAACCTAGTGAAGCTTATACTCCACTAATGAATAATTTATATGAAAAGATCTGGTTAAGTAAAGTGGTTGTTGAATATTTAGAAGAATACCATTATCTTCAGCCATCATATGAAGATTTACTTGAAGTGATTCGAGAGGCCACTATTCCTGAACTTGATAATAAAAAAATGAGTGAAGAAATGCTTCATAAACACGCACAATTTGTTTGCGATCAGGTAGTCAGCTTAGAAGCAGATGAGGATGATGATCCTCTAATAACTTTACCGTGCATAAGAGAATTGATTAAATTAATGGGCATTAAGTTCGGTAAACGTAAAGTCCGTGCCAAGATTGATTATAAAAAAGTTGATAAAAAGGCTTGGACTAAAGCAACCACTACCCCCTTAGTAAGAAAAACTTTTGAAAGTTTCTTTTCAAACCAGTTGGACAAAACTAATCATGAGCTCACACTGAGAAGGAAGAGATGTGGAGTTTGTGAGGCCTGCCAGTTACCAGACTGTGGTGAATGCAATGCTTGCCGAGCTATGGCTAAATTTGGTGGTCATGGAAGAACAAAAAAGGCCTGTGTTCGCCGACTGTGTCCCAATATGGCAGTAGAACAAGCTGAAGATTCAGAACTAGATGATGATGATGACTTCCAAAGTATGGTAGAAAAGAAGCATCATGATAAAATCGAAGATGTTGTCCCGGTGAAATTAACAGGAGCGAATAATAGAAAGATAAAATGGATTGGTGATCCAGTTAAAGCAGATTCAACAAAAATTTATTATGAAAAAGTTGAAATTGAGGGATCTGAACTTCAAATCGGTGACTTTGTGATGGTAGAAACTTCACAACCCAATATACCAGCCTTAGTAACTAGAGTGGTATACATGTGGCAAGAAACAATAAATCCTAAATCAGGTTATTTCCATGGCGAGGTTTTTATTAGATCCTCTGACACAGTTTTGGGAGAAGTGAGTGATCCCAGGGAGGTGTATTTAGGCGATAGGTGTTGTCATGGCGCCCCTTTGTCCTCAATATTAAGAAAAGCTTATGTGGAAAGAAAATCGGTGCCTAACGATTGGTTCAAACTTGGAGGCAAAGAGGTTGTCGATGAAGCATTTGAAGATGATGGAAAAACATATTTTTACCAAAAATATTATGAAAGATTTACAGCCCGTTTTGAAGATATACCTACAGATCCTATTTGTCCTAACGATTTAAGGAAACACAGGTTTTGTCCATCATGTGAACGGAAAACGAAAAAGGACGCAAAGAACATTCCAAGGGTTTCTGGAAAACTAGCTGAAAAATCGGATGCGGTACCTGAAGAAAATAGAACCGAGTGGTCTGTAGTGAGATGGCAGGACTATGATTTTAAAAAAGGCTCAGGCGTTTTCCTGAAACCTGGAACATTCTTGCTTAAAAATAATTTGGCCAACAACACAAACCAAAGAGCTCCTAAAATCGATAAAGTAGACGAAAACATCTACCCGGAGTATTACAGAAAAAGCGATAATTATTTGCGCGGTTCCAACGTAGACACCGGTGAACCTTTCTGTGTGGGATACGTCGCGGCCGTCGTGGCGGCCAGCGACGGCCCTCTGATAGTGCCCCAGGACATCTATCTGAAAGTTCACGTACTGTACAGGCCGGAGAACACCACCAGCCGCTTCCCCCAGCACGAGGACCTGAACGTCGTTTACTGGACCGACGAAATCCGAGAAGTTCCGTTCTCGGCCGTGGTCGGCCCGTGCAGCATACACTACGAGAGCAACATTCCAAACGACGAATCCTTACACGACTGGTTGGAGAAAGACCCGAACAGGATTTACTTCAGGATGGCGTTCGACAAGACCAGCGGCCAGTTCGTGAGCGTGCCTCACCACGCCACGGGCGTAGGTCGGACCGAAAAAGGGAAAGACAAGGGGAAGGGGAAAGGGAAGTCGAGCAAGCCGGCGGAGGCGAGCTCGCGAGCCCCGGAGGCGAGGGTACGGCCGCTGAGGACGCTGGACGTGTTCGCGGGCTGCGGCGGGCTGTCGGACGGGCTGCACCAGGCCGGCGTGGGCGAGTGCCGCTGGGCGATCGAGAACGTGGAGGCGGCGGCGCACGCGTACTCGCTCAACAACCGCGGCTGCGTGGTGTTCAACGAGGACTGCAACGCGCTGCTGCGCGAGGCGCTGGGCGGCGCCACGCACGCGCGCGGCCTGCGCCTGCCCGCGCAGGGCGAGGTGGAGCTGCTGTGCGGCGGCCCGCCCTGCCAGGTAGCGATGGCCGTTATTCGTTTCTTTCTTTCTTTTCAGCCAAACGACGTCCACTGCTGGTAGGGCAAAAAAAGAATGAGACATGTATAGGCTCCTTAAGAGCATTTGACGATTTGCAAGAACTAATTTAATTAGTCTAAACAAATAAAGATAATTTTGATTTTGATTTTGCTGGACAAAGGCCTCCCCCAAGGTTTTCCACAATGAACGGTCCTGCGCTGCCCGCATCCAGGCTCTTCCCGCGACCTTTACCAGATCGTCGGTCCACCTAGTAGGAGGCCTGCCCACGCTACGTCTTCCAGCCCGTGTAGTTAGCCAGTACGTTATTCGTTATCACGGGTTATTAAACGAGTGATCAGCCTGACCAGTGATCACTCGTTATCCAGAAACGCCTAAACTAGTTTTTTTCTTAACGACATACAACGTTAGAATCTCTTCGTTATTCAACACGATTGTTTCCACAACGCTCTAAAGCTAAACTGAATTCACTCTTAAGCAAACAACATAAGGTAGATGTTTGGTTGACATAAAAAATAACGTGTTTCCCGCTTCGTTATGACAGATTTGAGGACAACGTCGTACATTGACGATTCCTAAACATATTTTTTGTAACCTAAAGGAGTAAAGCGAGTAATGTATGGTGTCCAATTAATAAGGATCGCAACGAAACGAGTGCGTGTGCGCGTGAGAAAGCCATAGGACGTTAACATAAGTGTGGATAAAATAGGTATAATGTTCGTCGTACGTTAGATATTCAATTGAATTTGAGTCTTATTTTGAAGGTCGTAAGTTCCTAAATGTCTTGCAGCTAACCAAACACCTAACGTTATAATTATCACGCTTGCTTGAGAGTTGTGGAAATAACTTCGTTTTAAAAAAAAAAACTAGTTTTGAAAACGTTATTCGTGATTCGAAAACCGTCGCGTTTAGTTATTTAAAAAACCCATAACGACACATCTTTACTGCCAGGGCTTCTCCGGCATGAACCGCTTCAACTCGCGCGAGTACTCCAACTTCAAGAACTCGCTCGTCGCGTCCTACCTCTCGTACTGCGACTACTACCGGCCGAAGTACTTCATCCTGGAGAACGTGCGCAACTTCGTCGCGTTCAAGAAGGGCATGGTGCTGAAGCTGACGCTGCGGGCGTTGCTCGACATGGGCTACCAGTGCACGTTCGGCATCCTGCAGGCGGGAAACTACGGCGTGCCGCAGACCCGGAGGCGGTTGATTATATTCGCGGCGGCGCCGGGCTACAAGCTGCCGCTGTATCCCGAGCCGACTCACGTGTTCAGCCGGCGCGCGTGCTCGCTGACCACCACCATCGACGGGAAACGCTTCGCCACCAACATCCACTGGGACGAGTCAGCGCCGCGCCGGACTTGCACCGTCCAGGACGCGATGAGCGACCTGCCTCGCATCTGCAACGGAGCGAACAAAGTGGAGATAGATTACGGGTCCATGCCCGAGAGCCATTTCCAGCGTTTGGTGAGAAGTAAAGATGAGACCGCGAAATTGCGGGACCACATCTGCAAAAACATGGCCCCGTTGATTCAAGCCAGGATCTCGAGGATTCCGACGACCCCGGGATCCGATTGGAGGGACCTTCCGAACTTATCGGTCACCCTGTCGGATGGAACTAAATGTAAGGTAAGAAAAATAATAATGGTATGATTTCATTTCCTTTCCACAANAAATAACAGGATATATCCTTGGACATTTTACACTGCGCCTCAAGTTCCAAACTAAGCAAAACTTGTTCTATCAAATCTCAAACCTCTCGGCAAATCAATAAATGCAAACCAGGATCCTGTTTGTTTTTAGATTTAGTCAGTTTGAATTATGATTTCAGGCGTAGTGAAGTTGTGAAACAGTCGTTGAAACAGTTCTTTGGCTTCAGGTGCTGCAGTACCGTTACGAAGACAAGAAGAACGGGCGGTCGTCGACGGGCGGCTTACGCGGCGTGTGCGCATGCGCGGCCAACGGCACCTGCTCGCCCGGCGACAAGCAGGAGAACACGCTCATTCCCTGGTGCCTGCCGCACACCGGCAACCGCCACAACAACTGGGCCGGCCTCTACGGTACGTGTATATGTTTTATTTATTGATCGCACCCGGCGACAAGCAGGAGAACACGCTCATTCCCTGGTGCCTGCCGCACACCGGCAACCGCCACAACAACTGGGCCGGCCTCTACGGTACGTGTNCCACAATAAATAAATAAATAACAGGATAATAATATATCCTTGGACATTTTAAACTGCGCCTCTAGTCCCAAACTAAGCAAAGCTACTATCAAATCTCAAACTTCTCGGCAAATCAATAAATGCAAAACAGGATCCTGTTTGTTTTTAGATTTAGTCAGTTTGAATTATGATTTCAGGCGTAGTGAAGTTGTGAAACACTTGTTGAAACAGTTCATTGGCTTCAGGTCAGAGTTCGAAATTATCAAGATAATTACGCTCCATGATAATTATCAACAGTATAGGATACATTTATCATATTGTTTCATAAGAAATTCTGATTGCGAATGTGTCTTTTTTTTTGGTTGCTGATTTTTGTCAAGTTATCCATTGCTAGTCACATAAAGCTTGGAAAATAGATCAATATTTTGACGTTAGTGATCATTGTGGAGCTAAATATTATATTTTTTTTAACTATCTATACTTACGAGCAAAAGTATGGAATCACCCCGTTGTGTTTGGTTCCAAGCCATCTTAAGAACTGAATGACTATGTATTTATCTATAATATTAATTTAAAGTATAAAATATTACCTTTAAAATGGTGCCATTTTTATTTATCTTCTATAAGTCAATTAGTTCTTACGATCGCTCGAAACAAGTAGGGTGATTCCATACTTTTGCTCGCGAGTGTATGTTGATTAACGCCCACCACTAGACGCAAGTGCGGAAATACACATTCAAAAACTTCGTATACAGTTAATTTTCACGAGAGGATTTTTTGTAATTATCCTTTCGAACCCTGCTTCAGGTGCTGCAGTACCGTTACGAAGACAAAAAGAACGGGCGGTCGTCGACGGGCGGCTTACGCGGCGTGTGCGCGTGCGCGGCCGGCAGCACCTGCTCGCCCGGCGACAAGCAGGAGAACACGCTCATCCCCTGGTGCCTGCCGCACACCGGCAACCGCCACAACAACTGGGCCGGCCTCTACGGTACGTGTTTGTTTTATTTATTGATCGCGCCCGGCGACAAGCAGGAGAACACGCTCATCCCCTGGTGCCTGCCGCACACCGGCAACCGCCACAACAACTGGGCCGGCCTCTACGGTACGTGTTTATGTTTTATTTATTGATCGCGCCCGGCGACAAGCAGGAGAACACGCTCATCCCCTGGTGCCTGCCGCACACCGGCAACCGCCACAACAACTGGGCCGGCCTCTACGGTACGTGTTTATGTTTTATTTATTGATCGCGCCCGGCGACAAGCAGGAGAACACGCTCATCCCCTGGTGCCTGCCGCACACCGGCAACCGCCACAACAACTGGGCCGGCCTCTACGGTACGTGAACTCAAGCATCGAACTTTCAAATGTCGCCATCTCGAGGCCTGAAGGCTTAGTGTGAGTTTACATCAAACGTCGTCACTAGCGAGCGCGTCAAATAATCTATGAAGATTTTAGTTCTTGAAAGTATCCGGTAGGGTCGCTGTACAATCCGTCATACATTCAATGTAATTTTTTACGCAGTCGCTAGGGAAGACGTTTGATGTAAAATTGTAAACTCACACTTCATCTCGCCATCTAGATCTCTCAGTAGGCATCAGAAACAAAACACTGGATTCAGGAGTTGAAGTGCGTGTACAGAGACGTGAAGTACGTACCAGGCGCGGCTCCAGCCCTCAAAAAAGGTTGTGGGCACAGCCACCAAAAATTAGCAAAGTGAGAGTTGGATCACTACATGCCCGGACATACATACATGCCTATCGATCTTATCAAATTCAAATTCAAATTTTTTATTGCATACTAGCTGACCCGGCGAACTTCGTACCGCCTTAGCGTAGAGATTTTCTTAATATTTTTTTCCGTAAGAACCATCCTTGGACTTCCACAAACATTTAAAAAAAAGAATTATCGAAATCGGTTCAGCCGTTCACACGTGATGCCGTGACAACGCGAAACGGGTTTCATTTTTATATATATAGATTAAGTGTTTACAATTGGGTCTTAATCTAAACAATGAGCTTATAACTTAATAACCCGTTAATGGGTATTGCAATATTAGTGGTGAGAGAGGACTAGTCTAAACTTAGGTCTAGCAACTTACATTATGACATGCCTTATCTTAAAAGAGTTTGTTTATTATTAAAGAATTCATCTAATGTATAATATCAATAGATCATAGTTAATTAAAACAAGCAAATTAGGGTTGTGGGCATGCCCACAGTGCCCACAACGGTGGATCCGCGCCTGGTACGTACGTGTTCGTTGAAATCCAAGAATGGTTTTTACGGCGATATAACTTCGAATAATTTCCGGGAAGACCCTAAAAAAACTCAAAAAGGGGGTAAAACGGGGTCCATACGAAGTCGCGGGCGGCCACCAGTATTAAATATTCTTTAAAAAAACTCTTCAAACGGCGTGTTTCAGGGCGCATATCGTGGGATGGGTACTTCAGCACGACGGTGACGGACCCCGAGCCGATGGGCAAGCAGGGCCGCGTGCTCCACCCGGAGCAGGCGCGCGTGGTGTCGGTGCGCGAGTGCGCGCGCTCGCAGGGCTTCCGCGACGCCTACGTGTTCGCCGGCTCGCTGCAGGACAAGCACCGGCAGGTACGAGCAGGCCTGGCTCACTCCGCGCGGTACNTGTTTAAGAATTACCTAATAGTTAATGGTCTCAACCATTGTCTTATCAAATAACTTAATCTTGCCTTAAACTTAAAGCAACTATGGTTACAAAGAACTAGAACGATGACCAGTGCCGGATTAGCCACGTAGCAAGAGTAGCAAATGCTACGGGCCCCGCGAATTTGGGGGCCCCGCGCTCCAACGCCTGTCTGACCGAAATAAAAAAAAGATTAATTTAGATAGGAGCATAAAATATCTTGCATGCCTTAAACGCGAAGCGCTTAAGCTATGCTTTACTTTCACTTGAAAATCTAAAACTCTATTTCATCACGTTAAATCATAAAAATAAGTACCTACTTATTTTACGAACTTTTTAACGTGAATGTTCTAATGTTTAATTATAATCGATAAAACTCATTTATTTCTGTGAATAGGCTTAAAAAAAGCACTTTTACATGTCCCAGTATTAACCCTACCACTGCTTCAGGACATTAAATGGGCCAGTGCTGAGAAGAAGCAGCGCAAGAAACTCAGTCACTATTGTCTGCCTCTTTTTCAAAGGTTTACATGCTTTAAAATGTACAAAGTTAACTATAAATATTTATGCGAGCTAGGCAGTAACGCATCCCAAACATTTTTATCTTTTAAATAATCATCGACTTTATAGTAGCCCTTTTTCATTAAGGTAAGTACTTTTAATAATTGTGCTTTGAATTTATGAATGGTCAATGGGTAGTTCTACAACAGTTTGTGGCAATTTATTAAAGAATTTAATACATTTTCCCATAAATGAATTACCAATCTTATGCAGTCTGAATAGGCCAGTAGAATAAAACACAAAAATGAATTAAATCGGAAATAATTCCTACTAAAGATTTTATTGCTTTAATGGCTTCATTGGTTGCCCATAAAGACTCCTAGGTTTTCGACTTCGACGGAGTTGTGCTTAAGTGGTGGGGGCCCCAGAAAGGGGCGTTTTTTTATTTTTGGCGTCGAACCTTGGACCAGGCATACGGCTAAGTAATACAGTCGTACAGGAGGGTACAAGGAAGAGGGGCAGCCATAGTAGATAACACAGAGTCGTTCAAGAGAGTGCAAGGAAGAGGTGCAGCAACCGCAGTTAAGGATCGGCTGGGACGAACAAGGATAAGCGAATCCAACTCACGAGCCTTGACAGGGATAAGCTGGTTAAGGCGGCCCTTTACAAGGCTTGGGAGCCTGCGGGCCTGCGGGTGACGAGCTATTGGACATAGAGAGGGTTATTAATTATACGTAGGTACATATTCTACTTTGTCGAAGATAAGGACGAGAACATTTATTGATCGCGCCCGGCGACAAGCAGGAGAACACGCTCATTCCCTGGTGCCTGCCGCACACCGGCAACCGCCACAACAACTGGGCCGGCCTCTACGGTACGTGTTTATGTTTTATTTATTGATCGCGCCCGGCGACAAGCAGGAGAACACGCTCATTCCCTGGTGCCTGCCGCACACCGGCAACCGCCACAACAACTGGGCCGGCCTCTACGGTACGTGATACGTCCCGCTAGTATACTCGTAAAGTTACAAACATCGAACTTTCAAATGTCACCATCTCGAGCCTAAAGGCTTAATGTGAGTTTACATCAAACGTCGTCACTAGCGAGCGCGTCAAAAAAATCTATGATGATTTTAGTTCTTGAAAGTATCCGCTAGGGTCACAGTACAATCCGTCATACATTTAATGTCTTTTTTTTACGCAGTCGCTAGTGAAGACGTTTGATGTAAAATTGTAAACTCACACTAAGCCCCCTGTTCATCTTGCCATCTCTCAGTAGGCATCAGAAACAAAACACTGGATTCAGGAGCGTGAAGTGCGTGACGTACCTACGTGTTCGTTGAAATCCAAGGATGGTTTTTACGGCGATAAAAGTTCGAATAATTTTCGGGAAAACCCTAAAAAAAAACCCGAAACTACACCCCTAGGGAGTAAAACTGGGTCCACGCGTACGAAGTGTGTAACCACGGGCGGCCACAAGTATTTATTATCTTTAAAAATCTTCAAACGGCGTATTTCAGGGCGCATATCGTGGGACGGGTACTTCAGCACGACGGTGACGGACCCCGAGCCGATGGGCAAGCAGGGCCGCGTGCTCCACCCGGAGCAGGCGCGCGTGGTGTCGGTGCGCGAGTGCGCGCGCTCGCAGGGCTTCCGCGACGCCTACGTGTTCGCCGGCTCGCTGCAGGACAAGCACCGGCAGGTACGAGCGAGTACGGCCACCACGAAAAACTTTCGAGTTCGAATCGCTTGCGTATCCGAATCGCCATCAAAAGATTTAGTACGAAAACTACAAGCGCCCTTGTGAACGTATCGTAAAGTATACTTAGCATCAATGATATTATATAAAACTATAGATATGTTACGTTTATAGAAATTACGATTTTAATCCGTTCCGAGCTATTCCAAATTGCACACATTGACAAATGTAACTGATAAGTGAAACAAAAGATATGAAATAGCACGCAAATGAAGGAGATAGCTATAGTTTTAATGATTGCACTTCAAATATTTGGGACGTATTCGAGTAGTCACAGCGCGAGCGCCTATAACATATCTGCTTTTGTTTTTATATAATATCATTGCTTAGCATGAGAAATGGTTGCACGAAACTTATTTTGATAATCAAAATTGTCACGTTATCATTTAATTCGAAGGTTGAGTGTCGAATTTTGTCGAATATGCAAACTTCGAAGACGAACGTTGTTCATGCTAGAGGTACAGCATTTGCGTTCGTTAGTTTATTTCAGCCGAAAGTCGTCCACTGCTGGACTAAGACCAAGGATTTCCACAAAGACCGGTCCTGCGATGCTCGCATCCAGGCACCTCCCGCGACCTTCACCAGATCGTCAGAAAGCATTTGGGTATCTAGGGTAATTTTTCGGTCTATTCCACTTAGATCACCTATAAACATAGCTGGGCATTAACTCGTTAATCCGTTAATCGTTAATTAACGAAGTTAACATTTCTATTAACGGATTAACTTTTAAGTTAACTTTAAAAATTGTTAACGGACTCGTTAACTTCCGTTAAAGTATCCTAAGTCCGTTAATCGTTAATCCAGTACCTACTATTTACCAAAAAGATACAGCAGGCGCGCTGAAAAACGCGTTCTGACAAGTAGGTACGTTCGGGCTTCCAGAACTTCCAGATCCCAAAGCAACAGTTTTTGTAATCAGATCACTAAAGCAACGATATATTATTAAAATGCATTTTTTTATTTATTTACAACTGAATTTAAAACCAGAGGTGGAATTGTGTAAAGCAATCGTTATAATTTGACAGTTCATAACGTACGATTATTCTGTCAAACGCTTTGTATCTGACTTTATCGTACGTTATGAACTGTCAAATGATTACGATTGCTTTACACAATTCCACCTTAGTTCTCCTCAACCGAGTATGGTATACTTATGTAAGTACGATGACAATGCAATGTTATTGTTGACGATGGCCACCTATAAATAAATCACACTTCTAAATAGTCACATATTTTGTTTTGTAACATTTTTGATATTTTCTAAAAACCGCATAAAACAAATTGGACATGTATGTATGTGACTATTCAGAGGTGTGATATGTATATGATATGTCTGTTCGCCGAGAGTTGATAAAAAAAATTAAATATCAGAGGTTCTAAACTCATTATAAATTGCGGCCCGCTAATTATTTTTGTCGATATAATGAAAAAGTTGGTAGATTTTTTGGCCTGGATTCTCGGCTCGGTTACAATTTAATTTTGGACTACCAAGAATGTTCTAAAAATACCAATTATCTACCAAAATCTACTAAACGTTTTCGCACTACTAAATCATCGTTCTCTTTGCCTCAAATCTACCAAAAAAGTAGAAATCTACTAAAAGTGGTCACGCTGTGGCCGCCGCCGCCCGCCGGCCGGGGCGCTTGACGACAGCTGCGTGGCTCGTACCATGGTACTCAGTGCGCGTTGTGACAAACGACGCCCGCCATACAGAATGCGATAATTAAGCGACAGTCGCTATTGCAAGACATTTCATAATATTTATCAACTCTCGGCGAACAGACTTGTTGTAACTTATTTTATGACGTATTATTATAGTCTATCCAACATAGCTTNGGCCATGTAGGTAATCAATAATTCTTAGGATAGTATAGGAACCTAACCTACTATGAAGGTTTTCCATAATGAATGCATACTTACCTACATACGTACCTCATTACAAATAAGTACATTAATAATTTTTTCACTAGACAGCAACCCTAACAGCGTAAGAAGAGTTCAAAGGCACGCGATAGAAAGAGACAAAACTTGTAGGTGAATAAAATTGTAGGTACGTAGTGCTGTGCGAGCTGAATTCCACTGTATCGCGTCGTAGCAAGACTCGCATTTATTTAAATCGTCTTGCGGAGTAATCCTTCTGTACCTGTACTATTACTTATTCTGTGGTACGAGCCAGTACGGCTACCACGAAAAACTTTCGAGTTCGAATCGTTTGCGTATCCGAATCGCCATCAAAAGATTTAGTACGAAAACTACAAGCGCCCTTGTGAACGTATCGTAAAGTATACTTAGCATCAATGATATCATATAAAACTATAGATATGTTACGTTTATAGAAATTACGATTTTAATCCGTTCCGAGCTATTCCAAATTGCACACATTGACAAATGTAACTGACAAGTGAAACAAAAGATATGAAATAGCACGCAAATGAAGGAGATAGCTATAGTTTTAATGATTGCACTTCAAATATGTTTCTTTCAAGACAAGACGTCCCAATTGGGACGTATTCGAGTAGTCACAGCGCGAGCGCTTATAACATATCTGCTTTTGTTTTTATACATATAATATCACTAGCTTTTGCCCGCGGTTTCACCCGCGTGAAATTTGGTATGTCACAGATCGTCATAAATTATAGCCTATATGTTAATCTGGGTTATAAACAGTAATACTGTAAAGTTTCAACAAAATCCGTTCAGTAGTTTTTGCGTGAAAGAGTAACAAACATCCAAACATCCAGACATCCAAACATCCAGACATCATGACATCCAAACTTTCGCATTTATAATATTAGTAGGATAGGATTGCTTAGCATGAGAAATGGTTGCACGAAACTTATTTTGATAATCAAAATTGTCACGTTATCATTTAATTCGAAGGTTGAGTATCCAATTTTGTCGAATATGCAAACTTCGAAGACGAACGTTGTTCATGCTAGAGGTACAGCATTTGCGTTCGTTAGTTTATTACAGCCGAAAGTCGTCCACTGCTGGACTAAGACCAAGGATTTCCACAAAGACCGGTCCTGCGATGCTCGCATCCAGGCACCTCCCTCGACCTTCACCAGATCGTCAGAAAGCATTTGGGTATCTATCTAGGGTAATTTTTCGGTCTATTCCACTTAGATCACCTATAAATAAATCACACCTCTAAATAGTCACATATTTTGTTTTGTAACATTTTTGATATTTTCTAAAAACCGCAGAAAACAAATTGGACATGTATGTACATGTGTGACTATTCAGAGGTGTGATATGTAATGTCTGTTCGCCGAGAGTTGATAAAAAAAATTAAATATCAGAGGTTCTAAACTCATTATTTTTGTCGATATAATGAAAAAGTTGGTAGATTTTTTGGCCTGGATTCTCGGCTCGGTTACAATTTAATTTTGGACTACCATTTATAAGAATGTTCTAAAAATACCAATTATCTACCAAAATCTACTAAACGATTACGCACTACTAAATCATCGTTCTCTTTGCCTCAAATCTACCAAAAAAGTAGAAATCTACTAAAATTGGTCACGCTGTGGCCGCCGCCGCCCGCCGGCCGGGGCGCTTGACGACAGCTGCGTGGCTCGTACCACGGTAATACTATCTATACAGTATTCCAACTCGGCCATATTTTTGAAATAAATGTCAACAGCCGCGCGGTACGTCACGGTATGACAACATGCGATAGGGCTGCCCACCTGCAGACCCTATTTTCATTACATCTGCCTACTTAGAATTTCTATCTAGTTTTGTAAATGGATTTAGTGATTGCAATTTTTAATTTTATTTTGACAAACAAAATACTTTGTGAATGAAATAGGATAAAAATGCATGTTGTTTTGTGATTAGTAGATTAAATTAAAATAATGTATTTGTGTTAAGATTTAGTAACAAATCTTATAAATTTGCGACCGTAAAATGTATGCGCCTCGACTGAGGCGTACAAAATGCTTGATTATTATACAGGGTGTTAGATAAATGGGTTTATAAGCCGACACTAGCCCATGTTAACATGTGCATATAAATGATACGGTGAAGTCACGAAATTGATATTATCATTTTAAAAATTTAAATTTTCATACAAATCTGATTTTATAAATTTTATTTTGTATGAAAATTAAAAAAAAATAAAATGATGATATCACTGACTTCACCATACCATTTATATGCATAATTTTAACATGGGCTAGTGTCGGCTTACAAATCCATTTACCTAACACCCTGTATAAATAGGTACTTGTAATTATTTTTATAAAAAAAGAGCGCTTACTGTTTAAAAACAACACATCGTCCGTTTATTACTGTGGCACATTCGCGACACCCCCGACTTTTGCATGTCGAGCGCATACCGAGATTTGAATTTCGAAAGGAAGCTCGCGTTTCGTCCGTTTATATGAAGTTACAATACTGTATAGATAGTATTACCGTGCTCGTACCATGGTACTCAGTGCGCGTTGTGACAAACGACGCCCGCCATACAGAATGCGATAATTAAGCGACAGTCGCTATTGCAAGACATTTCATAATATTTATCAACTCTCGGCGAACAGACTTTAGGGGTCATCCATAAAGTACGTCACACGTAAAGTGGGTCGACAAAGTGTGACATGGTGTGACAAGGGGTGGGAGGGGTCTTAAGTTTCGTGACATCACATTTCAGTTGTTTCAAATATTTGATATAATGTTGATTTCATAAAAAAAAAACTTAATTTAAATGGAAATAAAACTAATTTCGGAACTGCTGTTTTAATTTAATAATTTTTCGATGTAAAATTGCAAAACATGTGACGTCACACTTGGGGGGTCTCAGAAATGTGACCAGACCACCTGTGACAAGGACGGGGGGGGGGACTCAAAAAATCATGAAATTCGTGTGACGTACTTTATGGATGGCCCCTTAGTTGTAACTTATTTTATGACGTATTATTATCAATTATTATGACGTGATAGCATTATCTGTGGATCTCAAGTCTCGCTGACGTTTGACATTACAAAACACCCTCCCGAAGTCCCGATCCGCTCCCATACTTCAGACACTGAGTTAACCGCTAGACCTATAGTTAAGTTTTTCACTAACCTAGAACGTACTACAAGCCCCCCCAAATGCTATAATGTAAATAATGTTTTTTTAATGAATCTTATATTTTTTCAGATTGGAAATGCGGTACCGCCTCCACTGGGTGCGGCGTTGGGTAGAGAAATAAAGAAAGCACTGGCTGCAAGTATTTCTTCTTAACTTTATTGACATCAATATTGTGATCAAATAAAATCATTGTGCCTTTCTGACAAAATATACTAATATTGATTACTAAACAGTATTTTATTACGCTGAATCTTTGAGGGGGATTTACCAATGGTCACATAGGTTCTAGTGATACAGAATTCAAACAAGACCAATCATGAAAAACTTGCTTAGTATTTACCAACTCTCTTTATTTGCATCACATATTTTTGGTTTTATACACTAATCACCTAGGTGTTACAGGCTATCGATCAGACTTGGATAGGCGTTCAAGGTCGACGCCAGTTAAATTATAAAATTATTTATTAGGTTTCCGTGCCCAAAGATAACCTAGTAAGATTATAACTACAACAAAAAATTCGTCAGCTGAAGAGTATGTAAACTGTATGTACTAAATTGGTTGGTTAAAAAAATCAAACATTTTTTTTTGGATTTGTAGTTTATTTATTTAAAACCCCTTTGGTTTTTCTCTTAATATTTTTCACTAAAAGGCTTAGCTCAGCAGCTTCTTTCGATTTTTTCGGTTGTGGTTGCTCTACAGGAGTATCAGCAGGCCTTCGCTTAAGTTTCTCTTGGATCAGTTTTTCCATGTTCTTAGTTTTCTTAAAATTGGGATTAGTGGGATCTATATTAAATAGATGTGAATCGTACAATGCAGAGAATCGTTTGTCTTCCAAATTGATTTCAAAGTCTGGCAAAGCTTGTTTCTGTTCAAGCATTTTTTGTTTCAGTTTCTTTTTCCTTTTTGATTTTTTGGTGTTCTCATTTTCTTGAATCTTTTTAAGACTGAAGTGTGCTTTTCCATCCTCGTCATCTAAAAGTAACTCTAATTCTGCTTTTTGTTTCTCATCTTCATCATCTTTATCATCTATGTCACTATCAACTTGCTTCTTTTTATCTTTTTTAGATTTGTTATTTTTAAATTCTGGTTTATTAAATTCCTCAGCAAAGTATGGATCATTCATATCTATGTCTGAAGGTATATCATCAGATGCTTCAGAACCTTTGTCTGATAGATCATCATCATTCTCATTTTGTTTATGTTTTAATTTCTTTAGTTTCTTCTTTTCTTTGCGTTTTTTCAACAGTTTTTCAAAGGGTGTCAAGTCTTTTTCTGAAATGTAAAATAAAATTATTGTAATTAAAGTATCACTTCGATATCGACCCAAGAAAACCTTTACTATACTTTCTTTTGAATAACTTTCATCCAGATAATACATATTTAACTCACCTTCGTTAAGTTTCTTCTTGACTAATTCTTCCGCCTTGTCTTTGATTCCCAAGCCCCATGTTATTTCCATTTCCATGTCTTTGTTTTTCTTATTTTCTTCTTTTTTCTCAATATCTTCAAGTAACGACTTGTACTTATTTATAGGATCATCATCTTCTGGATCAGATTGAGCATCAACAATTTCTTCATCAACAGCTTCATCTGTTAAATAAAAAATAGGTATAAACTCAAAATTAGGTATTTCTGTTGTACAACAACTCATCACACTATTCTGTATAATTTGATGTGCAACAGAGTAGCTTACCTTCACTACTGGACGCGAGGTATTCTTTTAGGTCGAGGTCATCAATCTTGCCATCGATTGCGCTCCGAATCGCTTCGGCGCGGTTGGGATTAGTCGCGTCCCATGTGAGTTCCACTTTCGCTTGCTGAAGTGCTGTCGTTGTGAAAAGTCGTGGTTTGTATTTTGTCAAATCTGGCATCTTTGTACACACTTCACGTGGCTCCTGTGAAATAATCGTTTTAATTATTATCGTTGGTAGATTGAACATATTATTGGTTTTATTCCATCAAATAAATATTGGTACAATCTATTGCCCTTTTATTTACCTGATCAAAGGTAACATCATCAGGAATAAATCTCATGTCGAGTCGAGTGGCACTGCTTTCATATTCCATCCCATCACACTCACTGTATAATTTATCAGCTGTAGATATCTTGTCACAGACGACTACAGCGTAGAAATACTTTAGCCTGTTTAACTGGTAACGTCGCAATTTTTCCATATGGTAGGTTGATCCTAGAAGTGGATGAAAAGATTATGACATAACATTTTTTTAAAACACACATTTTTATTAAAAGCCATTCAGCATTTATTTATATAAATAAAAACCATGTGATTTTTATACCTTCTTCATTCCCTCCATCATCAGAGGAGTCTTCATTTTTTTCTTCTGTGAGTTCTATGGGTCCACGCACCTCCTCCTCTTGCATTCTTTTTAAGCCATATTCTGACGGATAGATCTAAAATTTCCAAAGAATACTTATTGTTATTATAATCGACTTTGGCTTACTATGTTGCAATTCAAAGTTGTGCTAACAATACTTACATCAATACATGATAAAAATATAAATATACAAACAATAATAAAATGAAAAACATTTTTAAACATAGTAAACTTACAGAAATACTATGGATGATACCTCCAGGTGGCAGGAATGAGTTAAGCAAGACCATCAAGTCTGATGCCTTGATGTTGTCCCAATCCATATTGCATATTGCTATTCTGAAATTAAATATGTACGTACATGCAAACATGTAATCATTCAGTCACAACTAGTATCTCAGTTTATTTACATGATCAGGCAGGATGGAAGACGGAAGTTACTGTTTTGTTTATGGAACGAATAATGCCTATAGAAGTTTTATTTAACTAAACTAAAAACTGCAAAACTAAAAATAAATAAATAAAACTATATTGAATATTATTTACAGTAAAATATATTAAACAGTACNTCTACAGCCCCTAATACAATGTTTATTAGATGATATGTCTTGAAATTTTAACAATGGCAAATCAGTTACCTTTTGGTTGATTCATCAGTAGTTTCAGCATCTGCATCTAACTCTCCCCATTCATGTTCAAACTCACTATCTTCTTCTTCACTGCTCTCCTCATCCGAAGAGCTATCAGTCATGAGAACTCCTGCAATTTTACAGTATAAATATATAATTGTTCTATTAGGAATAAAGATAATTTAATTTGAGTATCACATACCTTCACCACGAGCATAGTCAATGTCAAGATCTAATAATCTTTCTTTAACCTTTTTGTCGAGTTTTCCCCTCACTAATTTATCGTTTTCGAGTGCATTTTTTGCATCACTTTCGGGTTGAGGACGAAGCACAAATCGACCAGGTACGTTGTTTACTTCTGAATCTTCGCTGTGTTTTTTTTCGATGTCTTCGCTCTCCTCATCCGAGCTGTTATCAGAACTCTCTCCAGACTGTAATTCATAATACTTTCTTAAATTTTCAGTTGACGTTTCATTTACTGGTCTACCACGCTTATCCACTGTATATTTCACTTTGAATTTTTCATCATTGAACATGGATTGAAACCTTTTATCAATTTTAACTTTTCTTTCATGTTTCGGTATTTGTCTATAACGAGGATCCTTGAGGTATTTGGCAAAGCGACTATCTTTTAAAATATCTGCCATAGTTATTAATTTCAAACACCAATTTTATTATTGCTAAAAGAAATTATGTTTACGCTTTCTAACCTATCGACATAACTGGACATAACCTCTAAAATTCACACGCACCCTGACTGATGTGTCAATGTCATATGTTTAAAAAAAAACGTCAAATAAAATGTCATTTAGAGATGCTTATTATTCTGCATTAATCTTAATCAGTAAAAAAAATCATCGGCATCATTTATCACAGCAGCCTTGATGTCCACAAATAAATAAAATGCTGAAATTATGCCCCAGTGATTTCCAAGTTGAGTTGCTTGGAAGCAAAGTGCAATAGCATTCAGCACAGCTGCTTCACATTTTCTGGAGTGTTAAAAAAATATAAAAATTCACTGAAAATGGATTTTTGTATCCATCGTATTATTTCTGTACAGGAAAATGAAAAATGAGAATATAAAGTGAAAATTACATTTTCATTTATTGATTTCTTGTAATCGATTTTGATTATAAACATTCGATTCATCTTCGGATGAAATTGTTTTTCCAGTCCATGTTTTATTCTTGGTCTTTGTCCATGACTATCTCCATACAAGTTACTCTATGACTATCTCCTCCCTCCTGTCTCATCCTGNCAACAATAGTCTGACATGCAAGGTGACATGTCAATGAAGTTTTCAGTTACTGTTGCCATTAAAAGAAATTAGTACCATTAGTTTTCCGCAACATGGCGAGGGTTTTTATGTTCCTGGTCAGGCTATAGATTGCGGTACTCCAGAAATCTCCAGGTTGTTGATGCGGCCTTGTTGGTCTTTATAGTTCTGTTGATCTGACAGCTCGAGAATTTGCCTTTTGACGTCGCTCAATTCGCACTCCAATGACCTGGTTTTTTCACACAATTTATCTTGCTCGATCTTGACGTCTGATATATTTGTTTGCATTGCTTTTTGTTCTTTCTGAATACTCTGGTGACCCAGCTTCAAATCGGAGACGTCCGCCTGAAGATTACATACGTCCTGATGAAGTTTCGAAATGCTCTCACTTTGTTTTTCTATTAAAGCCTCAAATGATGTCATGAGGCCCTTTTTGAATTCACTAAGGGTCTCTTTTAATTCTTGACGATATTCAGCCATAGTACCAGCGAGTTCTTGACGAAAATATTCCACGCAGGCATTAGAATCACAATGCGGAGACTTCCTCTTTCTTGTTGCTAGTTCATCTTCCCGAAGTTGAGATAAGTTAGGATGCGAGCCAGTGGCCCTTTTTTGGGGTGAATGCTGCATACTTATTATGGTTATTATCACAAATAATCGCAAACACCGTAATCAAATGACAGCAATTATACCCGGCATACGCGCGAATGTGTAACTGTAACCTGTAAACAATAACACCATTCCTGCCTGATCCTTCAAAATTTTCTCTCTTCCCGGGTATTTTCCTATAAAATCCGTTTCCCAACCTTTACACCTCGTCATTGGCAAATGCACAAGCCGTGCGTGCCCGGAAAAAAAAAAAAAAAAAATTTTCTCGCAGTTCTTGAAATTTATGTTAACTTCTTTGTAGCCATTCAACATACCTAAATAGGACTTGAACTGAACTGAAGAAGTGATAAACCTAAAGTTCTGTTGTTTATTATTTGGTATAAAAAATGAATAGTATTGGTGAAGAGTGTACAGAGCTCAAAAAGAAATATGACGATTGCTTCAACAATTGGTTTTCTGAAAGATTTTTGAAAGGAGATCATGATGATTCAGTGTGCTCTGGTATATTTAAAGTTTACCAGGAATGTGTTAAGGTAAGACATCATAACCTTAAAAAGTATCTATGTTTTTCTAACCTAACCTCTGCTTAACCTAAACATTTTATTTATTCTTACAGAATGCAATGAAGCAACAAAATCTAGACTTCAAAGAAATTGATAAAGATGTGTTAGGAACAGACAATGAGTATAAAGTTCCACCTTCAGATAGCAGCAATAGTTGACAAAAACCAAGCTTGATGTGCGCCTTCAATCCAGTTATATGTTGGAATATTTTTAGTGGAAAAATTGCTGAACATCCGGAGTCAAATAAGCTACAGTACAAAAATGAAAATCCAACAAAAGCCTAAAACATAGCCAGTCACAGTATGCAATAAGGAAGCTGGTGAATGATATCATTTTAAGCTTATTTATTTATAATACTAAATGCAAAATTTCACAAGTGTGTGTATTTATTACATCATCCATGTGTAACTATCAAATACAGAGACTATTGGTTAATTTATAGGCAATCCATTGTTTGTGTCATGGAGGTAATACCTCCATGGTTTGTGTAGTTTCCCTTGTATGCATTATGTACAAATAAGTTGTATGAAAACTGATTCACGCTTATATGCATTTACTATTGTAAATAGAATGATTCTTTTTATTTAAATGCAAGCACCTGTTGTTATTGTATAATAGAGTATTAGATGTTATCTAGTTGTTTCATTTTCAACAGTAATAAGATTCGGCCAAATCCTTACATAAGCCGATGGTTAATTAGAGAGGAGGAGACTGCATGACCCAATGATGATTAAGTTCAAGATTATAATCCAGTTTTATCACATTTCCATTTATACAGTGTACAGCTAGTGTATACCACCTTTCCATTATAATATTTAAATAAAACTGCAAGAAGTATTAAGAAATTATTTATTAGATAGACTTAAATTACTAAATTAATTATATCATATTCGAGTTAGCGTTGGCTTGTATCCCTTGGTCGGTAAACAAGACCACGGCTCTTCATTTCCCTTATGACTCCTGCTGGTAACCTCCCAGACACTGATATAGCATACACTCCTTTACAGAATCGACCTGAAATTAAACAGGATTATTGAATTATCAATATAACTAGCATGAGATAAGACTAAAGAAAAAGTAACATACTTATGCGTTGCCATTTGCATACCCAACTGTCTTCAGGGCTCATTACAGCTATCATCCTGAAATTACAATTTATGATTAGCAGGTCCTGTTTACAACATGAATCACAAGTAGTATAGAGGGATAAAAACCATATCTACAGTTACAACAGATCATGTCTATCTCACCCGTCAAAATTGTTGCTAGTGCAGTCATAAACATTGTCTTTATTGTTCTTCATTCGCAGAAACTCATCACAGTTGTCACAGCCATCATATTCAAATTGGTCAAAAGTCTGTAAAGATATCAAAGTATGTTAGTAGGACATCAAAATAGCAGTAGATTTAGTAGGTATAATGAATGGATGATGTTATTCCTAGCAATGTTGTGACAAGCAAGTCATGATCATGGCTATGTTCGCAGTAGGTACCACATACGTAATAGAAGAACATATTAATAATCATAGGCGTATCTAGGGTATATTACCTTAATTAAAGAACAAACTAAACAAGCTCTAAGACCTCTCAAATCCTTTGGCACTGTATCTAGAGACATGTTTTTCACTTTCCTAAGTTTCACGTGTCTGAACTTATACCGATTAGTTTGAGGATTAGAAGTGATGAGAATAACGTTAAATTGAGTGTTTATTAGAAGACTTTTAGATCACAAATGATCAAAAATATTTAAAAACCTTGCTTTTGTACAGCAAAAAGCCTCTTTTACTAGCAAAATGTCAACAAAACTGACAGACAGACAGTGACAGATAGAGCAACTGACAGTCAGCTGAACTTTTTTTTAAATAAATTTTACGGCTTAGAGATTTGCTCCATAAAGGGGTCCACACTTGCGAATTTTACTCGCGAGGTGGCGCTGCTGGCGTTAGCGCCAGCTAAAAGCTAAACAATACTTTAGCTGTTACTATTTTGTTCTTCGCTACACGTTATGATGCAAATGTACGATTTGCCCAGCATCCCCGCGATTATCGAAGAGTCATTAAAATACGAGGGTGGTCACGTAATGATGAGTTTTACGCGGGAAATTCGACCCGTGGCAAACAGGAGAGCCTTTCTTTAACTCATACTGTTAATCATAATTAAGAATTAATTCACTATTGACAAACGTAAGTATCATAATAATATCCTCGCAATGCGACTGTACAGTACCATGACTGTACCGAACAGTACCGTGCCCTGCCTGAGTACGAGGAATTTTTTTTTCCCGTTATAGGTTTATTTTTTATTTATTTATATTAGTAATCGTTTTTTAATGATGAAAAACAAAACAGCGGATATACTTTGGCGTAGCTAGGGTCATCATTTTTCAGGAGAGTCCTAGGGGTAGAATACGATGTCGATTATGTACGAGAGTTATTCGTGCTCAGGGTACCGCATACCTGTACTACGTTTTCCACGCATTTAGTAAAAAGCACCTAGGTATTGTAGGTATAACATACTTGTTAGAAACTGAAATATTAATTTAAAAATCAATAAAAAGAAAAAAAAACAATTGAGCATTATGTATGTCATAATGCTTTTTTTTTCTGTCTTACCATACCATGTCACATTGTCCTGAGGGTACTATTTTATCCTACTTTTGGTACTTTCTCTTTGTAATGTGTGTTTCTGTTATGCAAATAAACGTTTTATCTATCTATCTATCTATCTATCTTATGAACATGGGCGTGGCAGCCACCGAAATCAAGAAATCGGACAATGTATGACTGCTTAAAGGCGTAGTAGTAGATAATAAGTAGAAATTATTGGTAGTCGATAAGCGTAGCTCCTCGTAGAAATGTTTGAATGAATGAGAATAGGTGAGAGGTCAGCCGCGGTGACGCAAGCCGACAGCTGCGCTGTGCTCCCGCGCACAGCTCGCTACTCCGCCGTGCTACGGTTTACGAGGAAATCCGTTACTGCGTAGTAAAATATTCATCGAACTTCTGGAATTAAAATTCGAATTCAAATACTGCGCAGTTGGATTGTCGTCTGTTTTGTTGATGAAAAAAAATTGCCACATTAAGTATACATTAGTAAAAAAGTAACGTCTCATGAAGACCTGGAAATTTACAAAAACAAAAGTTTATAATAACTTTAAATTTCAAAACGTCTTTTTCTTGTTTGCAATTTAGAATGAGACGTTTGAAATTTTAAATGTTCAACTTTTTAATGCGGTGTTTTCCTCGTTTCTGATAAAAATAGCGGTTGACTTCACCATAGTGTGTTTTTACACGTGTGTTAAAAAGTTCTGCACACAGTTACATATTTTTTCCTGTTTTCGATTTTAGGATGACAGGGATTATGAACCGACTTGATAATTGTTATTGGTGAATTAAAAATTGCTTCTTTTGTCGCATTTTTTAAAAATAAGTAATAGAGGCGAAAAAACTGGGAACCTATCATTTCTCAAATTAGTGTACAATATGAACGTAATTTCTGAATAATAAATCTGAAAATCAGCAGCTTCAGCAGTGTTTGTCCTATCTTACTAATATTATAAATGCGAAAGTTTGGATGTCTGGATGGATGTTTGTTACTCTTTCACGCAAAAACTACTGAAATGATTTTGATGAAACTTTATAGTATTATTCTTTATAACCTAGAATAATATACTATCCGTTTGCTTTAACTTTGCCGCTGGCGATATGACGTCACTCGAAGGGAAGCGTCTATAACTTTATCAAACTATATTTAAAATATTTTTTATTTATTGTTATTAATAAAAAATGTGTATTTGCGTAGGGGACGCGCATTCCACGGACCGGCAAACTTAGCGCGAACGGGTAGTAGGTATACCTAGGCTATAATTTATGACGATCTATGACAAACTAAAATTCACGTGGGTGAAGCCGCGGGCAAAAGCTAGTTAGCTATAATGATATAGGGAAGGATGCACCGAGTTGCTTTGACTTGACACTATTAAGTATATGATCAATCGTATTATCGTAGTCCTGGGTTCGAATACTGATAGGAATAAGAAAACGATATTTTCTTAATTAAGTAACTCGCGTTCGGATGCTCCCGTCAAGAATCCGTTTTATCTTTTTTAGACTTTATTTAAGAATGCCGACTAGTAGGTTATCCGAAAATTTTCATAATTGGACGTATGTATATCTATCCATGAAAAATCGATCGTACCCAATTTAAGTGAAGTTGTGGGTTGGATCCTTACCATGGAAATACGTCCAATTATTTTCCTTAAAATATGAGGCGTAAAGTCCATCTATGTATATCTATGCTTCTATGATTCTATACTAATATAATTTATCAATGCGAAAGTAACTCTGTCTGTCTGTCTTGCTTTCACGCCTAAACCACTGAACCGATTTTGATGAAATTTGGTATAGAGATAGTTTGAGTCCCGGGAAAGGACATAGGATAGTTTTTTATCTCGGTTTTTGAAACAGAGACGCGCGTGAATAAGTTTTTCTGTGACAGACAAAATTCAACGCGGGCGAAGCCGCAGGCGGAAAACTAGTTCTATATAATTTACATGATTCTAAATCTATAATGGAATGAACTAATGAATACTCGTAGTTTAATGACAGTTAAGAATGAATTAGCAGCAACCGCATGCGTCGGATTGCGGTCGCCGCCGCCCTGCAGTCTGCGATAGTTTTCATCTATCACGTGGGAAACGTAACTTTTATAACCAGCTGCCCAGTAGCAAAGCATAATGTAGGCATTAGTATGAAAGGCATCAGTGATTCAAGAAAATGTCAATTTTCAGTGCCAGTGCTGCTGACCAATTGACAAACTGAAAACAACTGTAAGAAAATGAACCGTGTGTAAAACGAAGTAAATCTAATTAATGTCCACTTTAAAATAACCCTGTGTGTGACTAAAGTACCTACTTCATGGTTATTTTAAAAGCCTTGTTTGACTTATGTGGATGATACAAATAAGTTTTTCAAAAAATAGAAAAAGGTAGGTACTTCTATGGCAACAGTGTAGGACCTACACTACCTAACACTGAGGTCCCTGTAGGTATCATAAATAAAATCTTTATGACCTTTATTGTAGAGTATTAGGGTATAGACTATTGCTACATTGTAAAATTAATAAATCAACCTTATATACCTACCGAGCGACTGTACATATTTTTAGATATTTCAGACGTCGTTTCGTTCCATGATCGAATAATAACTTTTCACAAGCCGATTTGTATGTTATATTGAATTGTGAATACCTATAGCAATATCTTCAGCGACTCCGTTAGTAAATTTCAGCATTTATTTACGTCGAGATGCGTCATGAAAATGTCTCTGCTAGTTTTAGACTGTAAAAAAGGTTCTTCCAAGATATAATATATTCCACAAGGCCACTACCATAAAATCTACAAAAGTACCTCAACGACGAGTGCCCCATTACGAGATTATTTGCTAACACCAAAATTTATACTTAGGCCTGCATTATTGTTTTTCATTAGTTCATTGAACCAGCTCTCCTAGCGTCAATTGGCATGCATGAATGTGCCAAATGGTTTTTGGGTCACACGGCGGGCTCTGCACCAGAGACGTCTGATCAGACAGCCAAAAATATTATGCAGTTGACTTAGAAGTGTATAGATTGTA